TAAAGGTATCCAAGGAAAGATACTTTCTAGTTTAGATGAATGGTGAATATAGAAGAATTATAAATTTCTGTAATAAGATATATCCATATAATATATATATTCCTTATAACTAGAAAATATCCTGAATCATATATGAAAATACTAAAAATTCTCGATAATCAATCTTCCAATTCTCAGAAAATATTATCTTCTTCTTAGAATCTACGTGTTATAGACCAGATATAGAAATCGGAGGAATAACCTTCAATATTAAAAGCTTTAGCTGCCAGAAAAATGTTACAAACATTTAAGAAGAAACGTTTGAGTTCTCTCTTCTGTCTCTTACTATCTCCTTCTCTCTTTCTGATACGCATTCACGATTCGCTGGCAATTTAAAATAGTGCCGCTTGCATTTGCCTCTCAATTACGGAAATATCAAGCAGAAACGCCGAGAACTTCAAATATCCCGAGCATAGTTAATTTCTATTACATTTGTATATTTAATCTTCTCTCTCGGAGGAATAATCGCGTCGGCGGGTCAGAGATTCCGGAACTTTTGATAAAACTGTAAATAACGGCGACGCGGCCAGTGCTTAACTTTTACCAAGAGTTCGCTGGCCCCTCCAATTAGCGACATTTGTTGAAAAAATTATCGACAGGGTCGAGTAGAAAATGCATCTGTGACCTACGCAATGTTACTTCAGGTTGAGTATGTCTCATTCGTCTTCCTGCCAAGTGTTGGACGACCGAGAATCCTGTTTTTAATTTCAATCAAAAACTCTATTATTTATCATAGTAATATTTAATCTGCGTATACTTCGCTATCCATCGTGATTGTGTATTTCTAGCAGTTGGTTAAAGAATTACTTTTTTCGTAATAAAAGTGTTCAAAGCAACCTCAAACGATAGGAATTCTCAATTTGAATATATTTTATCGCTTGAAAAGAGACTTTTGCATTACACTCTCTTAGAAACAAACGTCGATTTCTTCCGTTTCCCAGCCGGAGTTTCAACAACATCAAGGGATTTTAGCGACATCGGGAGATAAATAAAACGCAGCGTTAAAGCGCAGTAAAACGTAGCATTAAAAACTCGTCTTCTTTCTAAACATTGCTCTCAACATTGCACGACCTCAACAAAAAGAAAAAAAAAAAGAAGAGAAAAAACGGAAGGAGAAGAAAAAAGAGTTCACCTTTTTGTAGAGCACAGGTCAAGCAATAGAGCGACGTATCGTGCCACATTCTTTTTTTTTTTTCATCGGCGTAAGCCTGCAAATCGCCGTTAACGTTATATATCGAGTTGCAATACCAAGAAGAATTACGTCCGCTTTTTTCCTTTCTTTCTCCTAGTTGCCATTTAAAAACGTCATCGAGCCGATATTAATAGCTATTAAAAGCGACGGTGGACTTGTAATCGCGTGAAATCGAGTTACGCCACGGAAATTAGCCGCATACTCTGTAATAAAAACGATTACTCGAATAACTTGCGGCTACTGGCGAGTTGTCACGTGACTGGATCATTTATGGCCGGATCATTGGCGATGCGCGGATAAAAGTTCGTGCACCATGTAACGAGCGGCCTCCGCGGTGGTTCGCCGCTTTGTAAAAGCGACCAACTTAATTTAATCGGTCTCGAAACGCGCGCGCACACACCTCGCCGGTTTAATCGGCAATTACGTTCAACGAATATCGCGCCCAGGCCATTGGCGGGGTTT